TTTGGTAATAAATAGAAAACACATGATTTACTCAAAAAATATGCTGGGGAAATTAAGAGATAATATAAGGGAGAATTACCCAAATGTTCTAAGAAAGAAATTTAATTACCAAAAAATTTTAATGACAAATGAACTATTGTCATTCTCTACTCTAAAATTTGTTATTACATGCTTTTTACTTGTTAATGAACTTTATGATGATTAAATCTTTTATTTGAAACCTGATTATAATTCTCACATAATATAATGCAATGATGATGATGTATTGAACTTGCGGGGCAGCACAGTGTTTGCATGATCTTGCATGTAGGAAGTTTAACTGAGTAATCCTCTAGATATCTTTTTTTAATTAATAAAATTCTTATATGATGATGTATTATATGTGTGTGTATCCCTATATATATATATATATATATATATGTATGTATATTATGTATTCATGAATGCATCATGCATCAAATAATTCTGGTAGAAAGATGGTTGTTCCTTATCAACATATTATAGTGTCTGAACTCTGATGGACTCTCTTTCGAGAGACTAGAAAGTTGGAAACTTTTTTAGCACAAGGATTTGATAAAATTGTTTACTAGGCATAGCTCCAATTAGAGTCAGGAAAACGGGCCGAGTTTGTCAGGCTAACCCGTTTAGGCCCTGAAATTATGAGGGCTGGGCTTGCTATTTTTCCCTTCAAATGGGAAATAAGCCCTAGAGGGCCGAGGGCTTAAAAGGGCTGGCTCTGGAGGGCTGCGGGTCGGCCATTTTAAACCCTTTTATAATTTTTTTGTTTTTAAAATTTTTTATATAATTCTAATGTTATTAATTTTTTACATTGTTAATAATGTTTCAAATATTTAGTTATTATTATCATTTTAAAATTAAATTTAGTGTTAGACAATAATTTATCCAATTAAATTTTTTAAAAAATGGGTTAATTTAGACTTTAATAATGATTTGATTTATATTATATGCGTTGATATTTTTAAACTATATATATATATTGATAATAGAGTATTTTTATACTTATATAACTTGTGATTCTATAATTTGAATTAGAAATTTATGAGTTTCAACAACAATGTTTCTTACAAACAATAACTAGATTGTAAAATTTAAAAGTAAAATTCTTATAAAGAAGAAAAACTTGATATTTTTGTTACGAAAGAAAAGCATACTTATGAAGAAAAATAATTAATTATAGTGATGATGAAATTTCAAAAGATTAATGATAGTATTTATTTATTGCACAATTGCACTATAGATAAAACTTTTGGATGTTGTTATCTTGTTAATGAATATTTTAGATGTTCTTGGATATTGATGGATATTTATATATGATGATATTTTATATTTGTGACTTAATTTTATTCATATTTATGTCTTTTTTTAATAATTTAATCGGTTTTTTTATTTTTTATAAAAAATATGATAAATATAAAAAATAATATTTTTTAAAACGGGCCAAAAGCCCGAGGGCTGGCCTTAAGCACTGTAGTTTAAGGACCGGGCCTAACAAATTGAGATATTTTTGAAATTTCAGTCCTGGAGGACCGGTATTTTTAAGTCCACCAGCCCTGAATGGTCGGCCCTGATTCCCACCTCTAGCTCCAATTAACATATGCATGGAAGGAGGATATTAAGCAATTAATCCCTAAAAAAAACAGAGAGAGAATGCTAATACATTATTATTATTTAGATGGCACGTTTTAAATGTTAGGGTTTGTAACCTAAATGACACCAAGCGTTTTCTTTAAGGCCTTTTGAAGTGTGGAATCACGGGTTGGATCCTTAAAAGGATATAATAGATGCACGAGTTTTTTTTTTTTTTTGGGGTATAAATAGATTTATTTGATGTTGGGAAAAAAGGATTCATATGAGGAAACGAATGAAATGAGATAAATATGGTAATAAATAAATAAATAATTCCATGTTACTTCCTAACCCCAAAAAAAAAAAAGGGGATGCTGTAAAATTTTAATGGGGTGTTACATGGATAAAGATCCTAACACGTTTGGCACAAAACTTAAACTCATCAAATTGATTTCCTATTGATTTTTTATTTTTGGTAAAATCTCACGTGCTAGGATATGATGGAGATCACTCACATCCCATCCACATTTACCATGAGAGGGCTGTGTTAGGCTGCTAAATAAATTACTTATTTATAATTAAATTTCAAAATACAATCATGACCTTTGACATTATGAAAAAAACTTATTTTAATCCTAGTTTGGCAGCTCACTAATAAGTGTGTTGAGGGATGATTAAGCTTAATAACCCACTATTTTCATTCCCTTAGTTACCACTTTTAAAAGTGTTAAGAGCACTAAAAATACACGTATAGTATACTTTTTAAAGTATATTTCTAGTCATTTAATTTTAAAATCATCACTGATTAACTTTTTTGACCAGCCTAGCTTATTTTTTAAAATTTTAAAAAAGTATATTTTTAGCCTCTAATCCTAAAATTACTAATAAAAAATGATAATATTGAGATCTTGCGGGTTGACAAAAAATTTTAAAACTCTAAAATATTAAATTTAATTTTCAAAACAACAATAATTATTACCAAATACTCCTCCGGTCCTAATTATAAGACCCAATTGACTTATTTGAGGAGATTAAGGAAGTAAGTTGAGTTGGTTATTTATAATAAATAAGTGTTGTCATTCCTAAAATATCCTTGCTAATTAAGTATATTGGCTAAAACTATCATTATTAGAAGGATTATCTTGGAAAAAAATGCATAAATATAAGAGACAAAATGGATTGGGTCTTATAATTAGGACCAAATAAAAAGTCAAATTGGGTCTTATAATAAGGACCGGAGGAGTATCACTTAAGAGTAATGATTTTAAAATTAAAAGATTAAAAATATGATTTTTAAAGTTAAAAGATCATAAGGACTAAATGGCTAGGCTACGTTTTGAAGATTGAGGTTATCTCAGGAAAGAGGGAAAATGTGGGGAAACAGAGGGGGAAATGCTAAGAAGAAAAACTTTTAAAATTAGTAAAAGAAATTCCCCTTATTCAACTATTTGAAGTGTCTTGGATTGGATGGATTGGATGAGCTGTTCAAGGGACAAAGTTGGGTGGGGTGACGACCCACATTGGACATATGCTAAGCTCCCATCTCTATTCATGCTTCAGCCTTTTTCCCTTTTTAATAATATAAACAAATAAAAAGGGAAGGAACCTAGCTAACTAGCTGGTTTGTTTTAGACACACATATTCTTTTATTTGAAACAATTCTGTTCAATATATTATTAGATATCAAACTTGAACATCTCTCTTAACAGAAATTTAAACATTAGTTTGTTATGTTATGAAATACTAGTTTTTCCTGTTAAACACAATTACATTCTCATTGATAAGCTACATAGTTATTGACTGAGTAGTATGATCAAATATACATGCTTATAACCATTACGTTTGGAGGCTTCCCAGAGGACGATAACTTATAGACTTTGTTTAAATTAAAACTTATAATTGTAATTTTTATTAGTGCAATATGATTTATATTTGAATATATTTTTATTAAAAAAATTGAAATTGGCATAAATTTATTTGAATTAGAAAGGTTCAAAAACGAGAAAAAATAGCTCAACTTTAATTTAAAGTGACTTTTGGATAAAAATAAATTTGCATAACTTACAGCTTCAAAAGTTAATTTTTGCTTATCCAAGGCTGTGACATGCTTAATTGTTCGGTTGTTACTGTCAAGATCGGCACCAACATGCATAGGTGGTTGCCGCAACAATCCTATTTAAGGGTTTAAATTAACTTCTCATTTTGGACAATTTCTTCTCTACATATTTATTTTATCATAAAATTCTTTTTAAAAATTTAATCCAAACGCTTCTTAAATAGTTGCTTTGGATGTATGACTTAATTTTAATTCACAATAAAATTTATGAATTAAAAATCCCAACATTTACAATCATCCACGTTGGTTCGAAACATGCTAAAAACATGAAATAAAAGCCAGGCCTCGACCCGACAGAATCTGGGGCGCTGATCCGAAGCAAGATGCACCGTACAAAAGCGTCCTTTTGATACGTGGCGACCTATCATCCCTCCAATGTATCTTACGGCCGTCTCTGTTTGGATGCATCATAAGGGCGTGCAGCCGAAGCCATGGAACTGCAACGCATTTGAAATCATCGGTTCTTAGTTTCATGGCATGATTAACACGTGTACATTTCAGAACCCAATAAAGGGTATGCCATCCTTTTCACGCGCCCCACTCAGACCGGACCAAATAAAAGACGCGTCACTTCAACTTTTTAATACTCCTTTCATCCCGTATAAGTTGAATTTTGAGTTTATTTTAATATTACCTCTGATTTTGTTTAGTTTTTATTTTAACTATAAATAGAGAACCTTAATTTATTTTATCTTTCTCATCTTTATTTATTTTTTAAAATAATTTTTATAATAATAATAGTTTTAGTTAATACACTTGATCAATAAAGATGTTTTAAAAAGGATAATACATATGTATCATAAATAACTAACTTAACTAGTTTTTTTAATCTATTCAAATTAGTTAACTAATTCTTCTATTAAAAATAAAAAAAATAAAAGGTAGTATTTAATACATTTTCTTAAATTTTATTTTTAATTATCTATGTTCTCTCATGTTATATTCTCTTTTCTATTTACTCACACATTTTTTTCCCATTCTTTTCACTTCATTACTATATATATAAATATTATTTGCTTTTGCTGTCTCCTATCTCTTCACTCGATTATCAATTCATTTATTATATTAATTCTTTTGTTTTTAAGCATGTGCTATTAACCCCATCAGAATCCCAGGTAGTAAATAATAATTATAAAACGAAGTAATGGTCGCACGTTTTATTTATAATCAGAGCTAAATACTTAAATAATAGGCTTTTGAAAAAAAGAAAAAGAACCCCACCTGTGTTGTTTTTTTTAACCTTCTTCTTCCTTTAAAAACCCACCATTTCTTTGCTTCTCAAACCTCAAACCTCAATACCTCATCAGTATCCTCCCTCCCTCCCTCTCCCTCGCAGAAAGTTCTGTAAGTGTCTCTCTAGTCTTGGTGGTTTGTTCTTGTTCATGATGCTTCCGGAGATGAGCAAGTCGAGTTCTGCAGAGAGCTCCATGAACGTGGGTCTGAGGCTTCTTCCTCAGATTACAAGTTCTAACAACAAGTCCAATGTCCTTCTGCAATCCGCAATTAGAAAGAGATCAAACCATAGCTGCAGGCCTTTAGAGGATTTTTGCTACCTTAAAACCTGTAACCTCTGCGATAAGAAGCTCAGTCCAGACAAAGATATCTACATGTACAGGTATATATATATTCAACAGAAAAACTCCATTAATTAATACCCTATCCTTCTTCACAGTTTAAACTCAGAAATCCTCATGGACTGTTTCGATTTTTAACATCTAAAATTCTGGGTGTTCCTTGGTTTCTAATAAAATCCAGCACTTTTATCCAGCTGAGACGTGTGCTTGTCTAAATTAAACAGGAACTCCATTAATAAACCTTCTGAGAATACGTGTATACACACACACACACACCATCTCTTTCCCTTTTTAGATGGCGGCAAGTTTTGGTAAATTTTAGGCTCTAAAGTTTCATGGGTAGCTATGATTTTTCATGTAAATTCCGGGGTTTCATTTGGTTTGTGATCATAATACTGAAGATTTGTGATTTATTATGTGTTATTTTGTGCAGAGGAGATCAAGGATTCTGCAGCAAAGAGTGCAGGAAGAGGCAGATAGTGATGGACGAAATGAAAGAGTCAGAGAGCTCAAGGAAGAAGAAGATGGTATCATCTTCTAGACATTGCTGGAACGAGTCTCGCCGCCTTGAGACTCGCCTCATCCTCAAAGACCTTCAAATGCAGAGACTCAAGTCTAAACCTATTCCCTGTGACTGGGCCATTGTTGCCTAGCAGCACTTCGAAACCACTCTCTAGTCTCTTATCTACTCTTTTTTTTTTTTTTTTTAAATATCTCTATGTTCATTGTTATCATATCAGAGATGTAATTTTTTTTGTTGGTCCCCGAGTAATACTACTTCTTTTTCTTAATACAAGTCTAATATAATATTAGTTTGATTTATAAATTTAATATGAAATCTTAATTTATTTTGTTTATTATATTTATTTATTTATTTTAAATGGTTCTTTTGATATTAACAGTTGTACACGTTAAATACTTCATCAATGATAATTTTATTATTTATTATAAATAATAAATTTAATAATTTTTTTAATCTACTTAAATTAGTTAATTAACTATTCCTTCGGTTTTAAATATAGGATATATTTTGTAATGTAATATAGAATCTATTTTGTAGTGTAAATTACATTATAAAATAAGTTTTAATTTATATTTAAGATCGGACTAGAGGAAGTACTTTTCCGGTCCTTAATATAAGAGTCATTTAACTAATTTGATTAGATTAAAAAAGTTAGATAAGTTAGTTAATTATAAAAAATGTGACACGTTTTTCCTAAAACACTATAATCATCTTTCTTAATACTTCCTCTTCTTCTACTACTTGATTATGATTGAGGGAGTATCCATAGGGATAATTTAGAGAAAATTGATAAATATAAAAAATGAGTCTTATATTTAAAACTAAAACTAACTCAATAATTAAATCCTATATTAAAAACAGGAGAAGTATTATATCAAGGATGTATATTAACCATGGAAGATAGCATATATTTTGGTTAGGCTAGAGGTTTTTTTCTCAAAATAAATAAAATTATATTATATACTTCACATCAGCCGTGATGGAATATATAAACACGCGCGCATGCGTATGTATGTATGTTTCCAAATTTCAAATGTCACTATGAATCTGCCTTTGTGCAGCAACTTTTTTGGAGCAGCCAACCTGGCAAATAATATCTAATTCTTCCTATTTTTTCCTTTCGAAATTAGCCGTCAATGTCCTTTTCTGTTTTAACCATCTAGGGAGAACTGAAAAATTGTCTCTATCATACATATAATTTTATTTCTTTTGAAATAAACAAACAGTAAATGATCAAATTCGTATTGAAGAATTTAAAAAAAAATCAAATTATTCACAAAGGCATTAATACTATTGTATTTTAACTATTTTTCTATAATACTCCTATAGTAGTTAATATAGAATCTAATTGTTGAGTTGATTTTAGTTCTAAATATAAAATCTATTTCTCATATTTATCAATTTTTTCTAAATTACATCTCTTAACCATAATCAAGTAGAAGAGGGAGGGAAGATATTAAGTAAAATAGTTATGGTGTTTTAAAAAAAATATATTATATTTCTTATAATTAATTAACTTACATAACTTCTTTAATTTGATCAAATTAGTTAAATACGTTTTATATTAAGAATCGGAAGAGTATCAAGAATGATTAGTTAAGTGAGTGTTTTCATTTAATTGCATAAAAGAAAATTTACATTAATTTCCTGGGAAAGCTTTATGAAAGTGATCTTCCCAAATAAAGAATCAAATAATGGACTATTAATAATGGTGCATACAGATGGAAAATTACGAGGGGAGAAGGTGATATATAGTAATTAGTAGCGAAGATATTTATCCAATATCATTTAATGCATACTGACTTGTGAAAATGCAACGGCTCGAATGGCTCCCAGTGTACTGATGATGAGAGTGGATAAGAAAGATTATCTTTGAGACTTTTCTGTTTTTATTTCTGTTATCATATACTATATCTGTTCTTTAATACAAACTCAATTAACTAATTTTAAAAAAATTAAAAAAGTTGCTAAATTATTTAATTATAATATATGTTAAATTATCTTTTTAAAATATTCATGTAAATCATTATATTATATTACCTCCGTTCTTTATATAAATACTAGTTTCATTTTTAATTTGATCCTAAATATGAGATTCCAGTCATCTTTGTCTTTCATATTTATTTATTTTTTTCTAATTCTTACACTACGGACTGGAGGTAGTATATCAATTTACAACCGAGACAAATTAGCTTAAAGAAAAATAATAAATATAAGTAATTTGAAATGATTTAATAAATTTATTAATTTTTTAAATTAATTAACGATGTCTCATATTAAAAAACTTCGTATGTTTATTTAAATATAATTTTTTTGGCCGAAACTTCAAATATAACTGATGAGATGATAAGTTTGATGATATCACGTTGTCGTTGGCCGTCACTGTCTGTTTTGTCTGTTTAGGTAACCCGCGTTGTCACCATGTCCACGGCACTTATGGTCCTTTGTTCTTTTACGGCTTCTCATCCAAACTACCTTTTTGACAACTGTCCTCTTGCTTATCCACTCATATGCTAAGCAAGGGAGTCAAGTAGCACACTATGAACAATGTGAAAGTTCATATTATTAATTCATACTTATGATTATGATTCATCAAACTGGCTAAACTGATTTAATATGAATATTGAGATGAATTTTTTTTTTTTTTCGCTGAGCTTCAAAAGATGGACTAGTGAAGCTGATACGGATTAAAAAAATAATACACATACATAGATAGGAAAAAAAATAAGTGAATAAATTAAAAATCAGTAAAGCCAGCCTGGAGAAAAAATATCTTTCCTTTAGACCTTTTTTCCAACGAGCTGAAATCAACTCAGTGTATAATGACCCGCGAAAAGTCTCACTCCCTTTTTATGTCCTTCTCTCCTAAATTTCTCATTGTATTGATGTGGACCCTTCTCTTATCGCTTTTTTTAAGTTGTGGGTGGACCCTTCTCTTATCGCTTTTTTATAAGTTGTGGGTGGATTTGACTTGACATGATGAGAAAATAAAGAGAGGTATCGTATTAAAGGGAGTTGGGACGAAAATGATATATCTGTCTGTGTGTATAAAGGGAAGGACCCATATTTGAATTTATTATGTGAAAGTTTTGGGGTTAATGATGTATCATATATGGTGGGAAGCTCCGTGACATAGATGCATTATCAAGACACACTCGTAACAACAAAAATTGGTTCAATTGGTAAGGAGTTGACTTATAATTCATAAAGTCATGAATTGGAATCCCGTTACCGATGTAAAAACTTTATTGATGGACGATCTGTAAAGACTTTTTAAGCTTAGAGACATGGCTGCTATGACTCTAATAAGTACCTAAGACTTAACTCTCATGAACTCTCTTGTTAGTGAAAAAGGGGAAAAAAAAAAAGAAGAAGAAGAAGAAAAAAATACACGCACGTACTATGTAATAATCATGTCAATATTCTGCCTTGGAAATCATATTCCAAATTAATCAGAGAGTAACCAAACCTATAATCACGATAGCCCAGCCCAAAGTGAATCCATCTGACCTTTCCTCATTCATGCGATACCTGGTCATTAAATGTGAAACGCAGACCAACAAGTGTTGGGCTAAATAGAAAAAAAGTTAAACACCTTAAACATTATGTTTTAGGTTTGATCTTTAGAACAGTATGAAAAAAATACTGTTGAAAAGAATCCCTATTATGGCGTTTGACACTTTCCAAGGGTTTAGTCTCTTATTGTTCGGGTAGGAGGATACTTTGGACAACTAAACTAAAAAATATGGAGCACCGGTGGGGATAATGAAGGAATGCTCTCACAAGGTTCTTTCTTTTTCTTAACGTAAGATGAATTTTGCTACAATTTTTACTTCTCAGATTTTAAAGCAAGTAAATATGTAGAACACGTTTTTAATTTGTTCTTATATTTACTCGTAAACTGCCCACTCTAATAATATGAAATATAAACATTTCACTTGTTTTTTTAATATTATTTTTTTCTTTCCACCTACTCTTTTACACTTTATTATATGAATATACAAATCAATTCACGCACGGACTTTTCTTATACGTTTGCAGGCTGGATGGGCAAATTTAAAAATTCTGGATACCGGAAAGATTTTCTTGTGTGAATTTACTCTAAAAGTTTAAAATTATAACGCTGATAAATGAAAACTTTCGAGCATATTTGCATCTCAATTCTATCTATCTATATAATACTACTGCCTCTTGTTTTTAGTATAAGAGCTAGATAACTAATTTGGAGAAACTAAGAAAATTAGTTAAATTGATTATTTGTTACAAATTTATATTAGTCTCCACAAAATATTGGTTTCAATCATGTATATTGGATGATTAGAATTATCTTTTGGTGAAATTTTTTTACAATAATAGAAATATTTTAGAAAAAACGAAAGATAAAATAAATTAAAATTTTATATTTAAAACCAAATTTATTTTTGAATTGGCTCTTATATTAAATACCAGAACTAGTATAAACTAAGGATTTTTTTTGGGGAAAAAAGAACTCGCGCGAGCGCACATGTCCAATGCTTGCACGTCCAAATTAAATTAAATCACCACGGCCGTGAGTATTCCCCAAGTTAGTCCAGTTAATTTCACTCACATGCATAAATTACAGAACGACTATGCATGCACATGCTGCCGGCTGCCAAATATTTTCAGGGACCGTTTTGATATAATTAAAGCCATAAACAAACCTTGATTCTACAATAATAAGAAAGAATTAAAATTGGCAACATACCAGGATCAAAGTCATATACTGATCATATACTGAACTTCAAAATCCAGAACTGAAACAATCATAAACAAACCTGTGATAAACTGACGAGAAAAAGCAACATTAATTAGCAAGTTAATTATAGTCCATTAAAGTTAATTCTAATTAAGTCTTAATATTTCAAATTAATGCCCGAGATCGCTCCTATATATTCGGAGCCATGAAGGAACTATCACTACTGGTACTTACCGCATTCCAAGATTCCCATGCTTGATCGATCTCCAACATGCCGTCGTTCAACAGGGAGAGATACAAAGACGACTCCGCCGCGGTCATCGGCGGTGGCTCTGAATCGATCAGCCAAGTGTTCTTCTTCTTCTCCGCCGGCGACATTCTGCCTCAGCTGTTCAACACGCTCCTTGAACTGCATGACTTCTTCCAAACCCATCTCCCCAACCGAACGGTTCCACCAGAACCCATTCTCACAACCCGACCCGGTAGTCTCAGCACTGAGGGATTTCTTTTCCTCCTCCAACACCTTCATGGCCTCCTCATATTCCCGTCTCAGCGGCGACATCGCCCATTCTCTGTTGGCGGGAATGGTTCTACGAAAAGTACAAGAAAAAGATAGCACTTTCTTTTAGGTTTAATTCACCCCACCTATTCCTATATTTTAGGATGTAAGTTAGGTTCATCGGCGAATTTTTTTAAGATACAACGAAGACCCTTGAATATGGATTGTACTTCTAAAATTCAAATGAAGACAACAACGGCTTTTACAAAGTGATAATTTGACTCTATCTCTGCATGCACTCAAAGACAAAGACAATAAATTTAACCTTAGAAATTGTGTTGTATATCTCCAAATAAATTTATACAAGCACATGACTTTTCTAAAAAACACATCTCTTCATTTTAAAAATATTCTAACATTCTCTTTCCGGATCATGAGCCGACGTAGAGTCCGACATCGAGGAGGATGCGCAGGAGAGGTAGCGGCGGATGACGGCGTCAGGGTCGGGGTAGCCGGAGGAATAGACCTTGCCGAATTGGGAGAAGACGACGACGGCGATTTGAGAATCGCAGAGAAGGGATAGTTCGGCGGCTTTGCGGAAGAGGCCTAATTTGCGTTTTGAGAATGTGACGAAACGCTTGCTGGTTTGTTCCACTTTCTTAATCTCGATCTTGCTCCTACCTTTCCCAGGCTTTCTGGTTGTTTTAGGTGAAGAAGACGAAGCCATTGCAAGGAAACAGCGATATACAGAGGGAAGAGCTAGAGAAGGAAGAAGGAAGCGAGAAAGAAATTGAAGTCCGAGTTGATAATATATATGTCGAGAGGATCTATAGGTGTCCGAAGTAAGCAAGGATAAATATATTTTTGTGCTGAAATATTTATTTTAATTTTTTCAATAAAAATAGTAGATCATAAATATTTATGGATTAATTAATCCGTAAGTCCTTATAGTTTCAAAGAATTTTGAATCAGGTCCCTATAATTTTTTTTTTTTATCAGGTCCTTATACTTTTATCTTTTTTTAATTAGGTCCTTGTATTTATTTTTCTTTTAATTAAGTCCTTATAATTTCACTAAATTTTTAATCAGGTCCATGTAGTTTTAATTTTTATTTATTAATTAAATATAAGCTTAATTAAATAGATTAATACTGAAATATAAAATATTAATAATTAAATTAAATTAATAATTATGTAATAAAAAAGTAATATAATTAATTAATTCAGGAAATTTTGTTAGAATAATTAATTTTTTTGCTGAAAACATTAAAATCATTATAATAATTCAATATCTTTAGAATATTATTGTTTATAAACTAATATTAAATAATATATACTATTTTATGTTTATATAATAGTACTATTAGAATTTATAAAATAAAGAATAAAAAATTCAGGGACTTAATTAAAAATAAAGTGAGCTTATAAGGACTTGATAAAAAGAAAAATAAATACAAAGACCTAATTAAAAACAGGTGAAATTATAAGGACTTGGTAAAAAGAAAAAAAACTATAAGGATCTGATTCAAAATTAGTTGAAACTATAAGGAGCTGTGGATTAATTATCCCAATATTTAATTATGAAATATTGATATTTATGAGGGATTGTAAAACTTCGTAGGATACTATTGCTGATCAATCTGAAATGAAGATTTAGCTTTGATTCAATTTTGACTCCAACTGAAGTTTCAACTTTCCTAATCTTATTTATAAAGTTTTGATCTTATTTACTTGCACATAAAGATTTTCACCATCGTACATCACTCACAGCATCTCGCTTCAAGACTATAGTTAAAATTTATTCAAAGCTAATTACATTTTTTCTGTGATAATAAAAATTCGACTTTTTTTATCTCATTTTTTTATTTCCAAATGTTTTACATATCATAAATGGCAATTTATATTATATTACCTCCGGTCCTAATTATAAGAACTATTTAACTAATTTGAGGAGATTAAGAAAGTAAGTTGAGTTAGTTATTTGTTTTAAATAGGTGTTGTCTTTCCTAAAATATCTTTGTTTATTAAGTGTATTGATTAGAACTATCATTATTAGAAGGACTACTTTGGAAAAAAATGTATAAATATAATAGACAAAATGGATTAGGGTCTTATATTTAGGACTAAAATAAAAATAAAACGGGATCTTATATTAAGGATCGGAGGTAGTAAATTGATGTGTCAGTTATTGCCGTGATGAAAAATTGTGAGCATTTTGGGTAATGCCTTTTTTTTTTTTTTTTGGGTCAGCACTGGGTAACAATTGATTTTTATTTTTTTTTGCCTAACATTGGGTAATAATTGATGGTCACCATGAATGTATGCATATGCACTGGCCCGACTGGCCCCCGGGGGGGGGAGAGAGAGAGATGAGAGACAATGGGCTTTGAAGTTACGGCCCAATGAGGTGCGAGATGGGCCCTAATTAGCTGTATGGGTATGCCTTATAGGTTCAAATCTCGGCCCACAAGTCCACAAGTCGAAATGGGATTGAAAACCGCCATCGAAACAAGCTCCCCTCAAGGGAGATTACAAGGATAGCTATTGTTATATTTGATTTTAGGCTGAATAAATATTCAAATAAATTAAATTGAGCTAGGGTGAATGATAAGATCGATGAGGACAACATTATACTCTCACATTTTCAAAAAGGGGGTTAATGTGTAAAATTGTGTTGAAAATTTTTACTTGAAAGTGTTGAACACTAAAAAGTTTTTCAAGTGCACATTTTTTTTAAAATTTAAAATTATCATAATATTGCTCATGACCATTTAAAAAAAAAACTAATGTTAATAGCTAAAATAGTAACATCGACTGTTAACATTTTTAGTTATGGGATAATATTATTATGATTTTAAGTTTTCAAAATAAATTTACACCAAAAAAAAAATTTCAGGGTGCTACTGAGTAAGAGCTTTCATGACAAATTTGCAATTTAATTCTTTTAAAAAAAGCCTTAAAAAAGATACTATGTGTCATTTGAGTTATAAAACCGGAGCCATCAATGGTATATAACTCAACCTACCTTAAATGGAGATGAATTAAATTTAAATTTCCAAATGTAAAATAAATTTCACCTCTTAATTAACACTTTATGGCCATCATCATTTTAGATTATGAATGTAAGAAGAGTACTATAAAATACTACTATTAAAATCCAATAGTCAAATACGTAAATTTTTTTTTAAAAATCTGTCTGGTATTCTTACTCTCAACTTAAAAATTTACGAATGGGTGAGATATAAATATCTGCTCATAGATGTTCTGGGGAAAAAAACCTGTTCATAGACGTATGCTTGCCAATGGCATAAGCCAACTTTCCCTTGAGAATTTTCACCACTTTTTAAAATTGCACTGAATAAGCCCTGAAACACGTCCAAACACATACACAAGTAAAATTATACTAAGCAATTAAGACTTAAAATAATTATATCTGACCAGAAATTAAGGCATAAATGTCTGATGATACACGTATAAAAATAACACATTAGTTAATTTGCATATTTATTATTACTTCCGGTCCTTAATATAAGAGTTTGTTTGATTTTTATTTTGATCCTAATTATAAGACCCCAATTTACTTTGTCTCTTATATTAATTCATTTTTTTCCAAAGTAATCCATATAATAACAGTAGTTCTAGCTAATAATACACTTGATTAGTAAGGATATTTTAGAAAAGACAACATCTACTTATTACAAAATAACTAATTAAATTAATTTTTTTAATTTACTTAAATTAGTTAACTATTTCTTATATTAAGGAGGAGAAATAGTAATATGTAAAAAATTAAAACCAAGAAATTGCAGTATAAGGTGGCGTTTTGGAAGCGCGTAATAGCTATAAGGGGTTTTAAAAGATAAGCAAGCCGACTTTTCTTGTACTTTACGTGGTGCTTCCCAATTTGATTAATTACGCTAATTGCCTCAAATTATATTTTCTTTATTGATTAAAAAGTGATTTAGTTTTAATTTTTAGGGAAAATCCCAAAAAAGGTAATTGGAATATGGGAAATCCCAGATTGGGTCCTTAAATTTCGAAAATAACAGAATGGGTCATTGACGCAATCTGTTATTTGTGAAATTTAAGCGAATTGACAATTTTGCCCTCATTTATTCATTCACTACAATGATTCAAGAAATCACTATAAGAGTTTAGGTGTTACCTAGATTCGTGTAGCGAATAACTACTCACTTTTTCATAGTCAGGTGTCTTGTTATTAACTACAACTAATTCTGTAATCACTAGAATAATGTAAGCATTGCCTAGATTTGTGTAGAGAATAACTACTCATTTTTTCATAGTCAGGTATCTTATTATTGTCAGGTACCTTATTATTAACTACAATGAATCTTGTAATCATTAGAACAGTGTAAGCGTTACCTAGATTTGTTTAGAGAATAACTACTCACTTTTGCTCAGGGGCAAAAATGTCAATTCGCCTGAATTTCACAAATGACAGATTGGGTCAATGACCTATTCTGTCATTTTCGAAATTTAAAGACCCAATCTGAAATTTGGTATATTCAAGAGGCTTTTTCTGGGATTTTTCCTAATTTTTATTATACAATCATGTCGACATATTTTCATTCGATTGGCTAAAAGCCATGCCAGCGATATAATATATAAAATAAATTTACGCGATTTACGTATAAAACATTTAGGTTCTTTCCCTTATGTATGGAATCTAAAACGGAATCAGGTTGAAATGAGAAGCAAACACGTGGAACTCGTGAATTCTTCAAAAGTTAGGTACTTGGGTGGTTCAACACACGGTTTTTGATTTTTACAGGTCAAATATAGAAAAAGTAAATGACCACTCTAATGGAATAACTCTTTAATCCCACGAAGGGTCAAAGTAAAAGCAAATCAATGCTGGCAAGCTGGAAAGGGCGAAAAAAGGAATTGAATGTTGCCATAATTGCTCATATTTTACCAAAAAAATTCCTCTCTCCGTAGTTTTTTAATCACATTTTTGTTGGTTTTTTTTATTAGATCTTTATAATTTCACATGATTTTTAATCATATAATTATAAAGTGAGTGATAAAATTAAATTTCAGTAAATTTCATTTTATTGGTTGGAATATAGGTTTTAGTCTCACTCTCATATTATAAATAATAATTGTTGTTTTAAAATTAATTTATTATAAATGAAAATTAGTTTTGTTTTTTGGAACAACCCTGTTCTATTTATGAGATTTACTTAAAGGAAGTCTTTAATTTTAATTTTTTTAATATTTTTAGTACATTAATTATATGTTATTATTATATTACTATTCACTACATTAATTCTCTGTATATTTTTTTTATCTGTTTATTCTCTCTTCTATTCACTTTCACCTTCCAATAAATGACAGTATTTTTGAAAAGTAAAATACAGTTTTTTTTTGCCAATGAATAAAATACAGTTTTTACATATTGAGTTAAAGTATTCATTTGGTTTTCTAAGTTTTCATATAATTTTAACTCAATGCCTTAAATTTATAAAATGCATTTTTCATTTTTTTTTACATTAATGCTATTAGTTTAATTTAATAAAAAATGCTAACTCATTAAATTTGAATATTGTATGATCGTTATTTTCTATTAAATGAGACTAAGAATGCAAAATTAAAAAAACTAAAATATGGTTTGTAAATCTAAGAAAATAAATTAAAACTTAATATAAATTTAGACCATGAAAATATATACTCTTCAATCTATTTTAACTAATTATTTTAGAGGAAAGATGCATCTAATATCCGAAATATTTTCTCAGGCGCATTTAGCATTTTAAGATGTTTTGTAATGCATCCAATATCTTGAAATATTTCTTTAAGTGCGTCTAGTACCTTAAAGTATTTTTTTAGTGCATATAACATCATCAAATATTTTTTTAGGTACGTTCAACACTCAAAATATTTTTTTTAGTATACTAAAACAAAAAAATACTTTAAAGATATTAACACATTTAAAAAAATATTTTTTAAGTAAATTTTAAAAAAATATTTTAAAATTATGAATGTGCCACAAAACATTTCAAAATTGCGGATGCACATTTTTTATCGAACTAGTTCTGTTATTTACATAGATAACTAGGGCGTGTTTGGGTAACTCCATAATTACTTTTTAGAAACATTTTTTTATAAATCAAGACAAACTCATCCACATATTTTCTTCATATACCGTAAAAATACTTCTAAAACTATAATTTTATTTTTATCTAAACACCCTTTAGGTGACATTAGGGCAATATTAGCAAATAGCAATAAGGATAGAGGTCGGTGGCCCCAAAAAAAGAAGGGTGTAGAAGGGCATAATGGTAAAATCGGCTGCCACACCAAATCATTCTCGCTTCATTTACGCATAAAATCCTTGAAAACCTTTTATTTCTCTTTTAGTTCAGAAAGCTCCCGTTTTTTCTTTTCCTCGTCAGAGTCTTTCTTGGGCAAAAGAAATATTCAGCCTTTTGCTCATAATTTTTCTGCGCTTTGTTTTTCTGAGGGAAAAAAGGCATAATCTTTTACCGGTTCTGGAGAGAGAGAGATGTGTGGAGGTGCTATCATCTCCGACTTCATTCAGACGCCGGGGGCCAGGTCTCGCCGGCTCACCGCTGATCTCCTCTGGCCGGATTTGAAGAAATCCAGTGGGGGGAAGCGATTCTCGAAGCCCACTAGGTCTGCGTTCGGGGATTCGGACGATGATTTCGAAGCTGATTTTAGGGAATTCAAGGACGAGTCCGATATCGATGAGGTGGATGTGGATGATGATTTTCTATTCGATTTCAATACCTTAGGTTTCTCTGCTGCCAAACCCCCGAAGCCTTCCAGATCCCGGTCTCGTGGTAAATATTTCTTATGACTTCCTTCCAGTTCCGGTTATGTTGATATGATGGTAAAATTTTTTAGCCAAATATATGAGGGTAAAATTTGTCGTATAAATTTTCACATGCCTTTTTCATTTTTTTGGTTTAGTTCATGCGTCATTTGGTTGTTATATCCTTGATGCAGCTTTTGATTCTGCTTCATAGGTGTATTAATGATCACATGCAGCATATGCTTTTTTTTTTTAATTAAACAATGTATTGCCGCTTTCGGAACTTTTTTTTCCCCAAGGTATTATCGGGAAAAGTTGTATTTATTTGGTGAATTTTGATTTTTCCTTCTCAGTCAATGACATGAAATTCAGTTTTCAAAACAGTTTTAAGGCTGTTTTATGATCCTGTAAGCCCCCTTTATTCACTAGTTATTAGATTTTGTAACCGTATAAGCTTAGCTTTATTACTTCGATTAATATTCATTAATAAGTTTTTCCTTTCCTGGTTAATGAAACATAGTCCTACTTTCATGCCTTGCACATGCACTCCATGAATCACTTGCAAGAAATTATAAAGCATAGAAATCTTGTGGGTCCACTTTGAAACGGCTTCATTTGCTTGCATAATAGTATCTTCAGAACACTATTGCGGAGTTCTGAAATGTTTATGAAATCCTTTTGAAACTGATGTCATGCTGTTTGATTTCGTTTTTGCCTTTGTGCACATATGTAAAAGCAGGAGTGTGGTTAGCCTAATGGGAGTTGCTTCTGACGACCACACTATATATTCCTATCAGATTGCAAAATCTACTTTATAGAGGTAGATGCGGTTCCTTTTTGCAGTGAAAATCTGTGTTGTTGGTTTCAAATTTTGACATTTGTGGATCAAAATATACTTTTATATTGCCTGTTCACTAAATGAGCTTTAGCGGTGTTTTAGTTGTGATATTGCATTGAATGTTCCTAGTTCTTTTGCTTTTGTTTTGATTGTTACTCTAATATGTCATATTTTCCCAACAATTGGCTGTCAAGACCCAAATAATATTGTGTGCTGTAAATTACTAAGTAATGAGTTGAAGTAAAATACTCTGTAGGGGGGTTACAAGCCGTGCTTGATTATAGGAACGCCTTCATTTTACAGCAATTTCATTAGAGATCAGTCTTTTGTCATTTAATAGGCTATTTACTTCAATCATCTCTTACTCTGTATGTGTTTACGTGTTTATTTAGATGCGTGAGTTGGTTTTCTTAATTTTAGTCTTTTTACTGGTACTGTAAATGTATTGTCCCTGCCTTGCTCATATTATAGTTTTTTCCCTTTCCCAATTACATTGAAGGATCTGGTGCTGTAAAATCTGTGGAATTCAATGGAAAAGCTAACAAGTCTGAGAAAAGAAAGAGGAAGAATCTGTATAGGGGAATCCGTCAGCGCCCATGGGGAAAATGGGCAGCTGAGATCCGTGACCCGAGGAAAGGAGTCCGTGTCTGGCTTGGAACCTTCAACACTGCTGAAGAAGCAGCTAGAGCCTATGATGCTGAAGCACGGAGGATTCGTGGTAAGAAAGCCAAGGTGAACTTTCCTGATGAGGCCTCAAGCTCTCCCCCAAAACATTACAATGTAAAACACTCTGTCCAGCCCATTATGAACCAGAAATTCAATTTTGAAAACAATCCAAAGGACTATGTCTGTCCTCTGGGTCTGATGGAGCAGAAACCACTGGTTAATCAGTATGCTAACATGGGAGGTTTACCCAGCAGTGCAGATGGGCTCACATCTTTCACGCCATCAGATGATGTTAATATGCCTGTTTGTTTCAGTTCGGATCAAGCAAGCAATTCGTTTGATTATTCTAGTTTTGGTTGGGGTGAACGGGGCCCAAAGACTCCCGACATCTCGTCAATGCTTTCTGCTTCTATAGAAGATGAATTTCAAGCTGTTGACGACGCCAACAAGAATGATCACATTCCTAACTCTCAGAATGTGTTGCCTGCGGAAAATGATTCTGCAAAGACACTGTCTGAGGAACTTGCAGATATTGAATCCCAGTTGCAGTTCTTTAAGACACCTTACCTTGAAGGGAGCTGGGACGATGCTTCATTAGAAACCTTGCTTGGTGAAAACACAACTCAGGATAGTGAAAACCCAATGGACTTTTGGAGTTTTGGTGATGATCTTCCTTCCATGGCCGGGGGAGTTTTCTGAGCAACTTTCTCCCTGTCTCCTTAATTTGTAAATAGGGTTACAAGTTAGTATTTTTTTCCTTTCAAAATTCTCTTTTGGTTCTATAATTTTAATCATTCATGGACTAAATTAATATGGCCCGCAGAAATTATCACTTATTTGAATTTTGTTCTTGAAAAGCCAAAACGTTTAATGGAGTCCGTGATTTCTCGAGAGTGGGGACAGCTAGTCCTTTGTGAGTGAATTAAAAGACTGAATTGAACCCAATTAAAATAAATCAAGGACTCTACTCGAGATTTTTTTTTTAATTTTTTTATTTTCAGGTAAACCCCGAACAAGTGATGTTTTTAGGGAACCAATTGTAAATACATTCTTCATCATGAAGTATTCTCGGTTTCTGAAATGAATGCAATGCTTTGTTCCTTTTATTGGTTTTCAGGAATGCTGTTCATCTTTGTTGGAGATTGAGTCGAGACGAAACAGACCGTTTTAAGCATGTCTGGATGGTTATTCTGTGGACGCTGGTAGCAAAGCAGGTGTGGGACCATGGATGTGTAGGAGTACATGTCAAAGACCTTAACTCTTGGAGATGTTGAGTTTACCGTTCATTAATGAGGATGATTTTATCAAATGTGTGATGCAGTAAAATGTTAACTTGATTGTTTTGATTATGGTCGGTCAAAGTGGAGGCCATCAATTAACCCCATTTTTGAATAATTGATTTGGTTCTGTTCAGAGTATTGCTTGCAGGTCTCTTATAGATAGTATTTGCCTCCATCAATTTGAGTGCTGGAGGTGTTTAGTCTTTTCGGCTTCTTGAAGAGCTGCAAGGGAAAGACAGAAAAGAGGGGAAGGGAAAGAAAAACAGACGGCGACGGCTTTGCATTTTTGGGGGGTTCTTCCCCTCATCAAATTTGAATGGTGAAAATTTCAGTGAAGTTAAGCATATATATCTGAATCAGCCATTGGCTCAGGTGGAAGACTTTCATTAGTTCAAATTCCAAGTTAGTGTTTAAAGCGGTTGGATGGGTACAAATAACTGAAATAAAGAACGTGAATAATTCAGACAATGAGAATTGTCAATCAAAGCGTGGTGACAAGTAAATCAACAACAATCCGCGGAGTTTAGTTGGGTTCCCAATGGAAGTGGAAGACCAAGTATGAGAATGAATCAAGGAGGTCTGAGCCAAGAGCTGTGGCCGCCATGCTGATATGAAAGGTCGCATGAACAGAGCACGAAGGTTGTTACCCACGATATTTCTCCGAATTGAAGTGCGTGATGAACCAATTAATTAGCCCCAGAGTCATATTTCTCTATGTCATATAGATGGTGGTGGTTGACCCGCTAATGGGGCACCATGGGACCACAGATCTTGTCAAATATAGCGTGGATGAAATGTTTGAAGCACTAATCATGAAGGAAAAAGCAGTGATTCAATAGTGAAGGGAAAAAGAATGAAAGGGACAGGTTGCGAGAGGCTTCACTGAGGAGCATGTTAAAAGCTGGGGTTGGACGAAATTAAGGCGATGAAGATAACTGACGAAATAACATTAGAATGCTAGATATACCATAAATAAGATATATCAAATGTACATAAATAATAGGATCAAAGCATATATTTCTTTCCGTTATGAATATAAGACTCATTTTATAATATAATTTATATAATAAATTGATTTTACATTTAGAGGAAAAGTATTATTTTACCCATTAAAAAAATGAAATCTTTATATGATAGCAAAATGGAGACTAGGTATGAAGGGGGCTCAAGTTGCACGTGAAAGGGCATATTGCACTTCCACAACACAACACCGTCGCTTTCTAGAGATTCCCTTGCCGCTTTGTAGCCTCCAAGGCTCGTGCTTTCATTTCCAACCACTTCCCCTTCCTTTTTTTTTCTTTCTTCACTATTCACTCTTTGATTCATTCACTAACTAATTAAATATAGTATAAGGCATTTTGATGACTTTAAATAAAAAGGCAATTAATGTCTTTCTTCTAACATATCTCTAAGAATATCTTAAAATTATTTACAACCCTTCGTTATTATGGTTCATTTGAAGGACACGGTTGGAAAATCCTAGAATATTAACCACCTCTTGGTAGGTATGTTTGAAGTGAAAATACCTTATATTTACAATAGTATAGTATTGTTTCTTACAAAAAAAGACGGATGAAGTATTATTTGTTTATTTGTTCTCATATGTTGAAAATTATACAGTGTATAAGGGTCTTATATTTAGGAGGGAAGAGTATTTTTTTTTCTCTTAAAAAAAGAATAACATAATTTTTAAAGATCCGTATAGTTATAACCAACTCGAGTCATGCCTTTTATGATTTTTTTCCATAAAAAGAATTAGCTTTTAGAGTTTTGATCAACTTTAGTCAAAATTTACACTTTAATTAAATATCATTATCACATCATCTATATCATTTCCGTCGAAGCTGATCATTATTTTAAGGATTGATTCCTCAATAAATGAACTACAATGAACGTGACCCAAATTTATGAAAACCATAATAGAAACCAACATTAAACTATGGTTTTCCAAGAAATTAATTTCCTCGAAGATATCATTCTCAAAATTGTGCTATGCTATATTGGTAGCGTAGCCTAGCATGACAACTTTTGATTTAATTAACCTTGTTGGATGCTGTTAATCTCCGATAATCAAGGCCGCTTTGCAGTTTAATCTCTATTGAAATTAGTACTTGATGGTAACACAGGAATTAAACAAATTATTATTTAAATATATTCCTTATAGGGAGGTGATTCCCTTGGATTTAAAGGAGTGTGAGTGGTCAATTTGGAATATTATGATTAATTATGAGAATATGAATTTTTTTTTCAAAAAAAAAAAACGAGACTTATCCCTTGTCGTTTGGATAATGGAACACAAAAGTGCCTCCTCCCCAGGCTCTTGCAAAAGGCAAAATAAATAAATGAATAAATAAAAAAATCGCGAAGAAGCTGAGGCAGCCGTGCTTGTCATCAAATATATATTTGGCAAGCAAAATCTTGTAAACTAAAACACAATATTAAAAAACAATAACATATCATCAACAAAATCTGTCTACTTATATATTAATGTTGTTTTGTAATGTTTTGCTCAATTAAAAATTTGTCAACTTGCAAGAATGCTACAAGCAACAAATAATTTTTGTTTTGGGGATCCTCTTTTGAGTTTCGACAAAATAAGTTATACATATGTTGACATCATGTTAAGAACAACTCTTGTCAAAATGTTCGAAATATAAATCAAGGAAAAATTTTGATTAAGGAGTGCAGATGGAAATTAATTTCAAACAGCCCAAAAAAAATCTGAAATTTCAGTTAAGGATTCTGAAATTTCACTGAAGGATCCAAGGGGCAAATTGAAATTAATTGCTGAAATCATTTTACTGAAATGCCCTGCAAACTGTATCCGCTGAAAAGAAAGAAGAAAGAGGGAAAAGAGGAGCTTGGTGCGTGAGATAAACCGTTTTTTCCAAAAAAAATTTTCTGTTGAGCATAGTTGGGTTGTGATAGTTGAATAATGTAGAAATAAGTATTTAAATGCATGTGTAAGTAGGTAGTGAGGGGGGAAATCTAATATAACTTTTAAGTTTAGAGAGAGATTATTATCTTCTTCTTCTTTGAAGTTAATAAACATGAAATGTTAATAATTTTTGAAAAGTGGGTGAGAATGGGTGAACACTAACTGTAATACTTTGTTGAAGGAACTTATGAAAGGAGAACTGAAAGGAAAATGGGTGATATGAAAACGAAATGTACAAAAAAAGTGTATAAAGGTCTTATATTTAAGGTCAGAGGAGTAACCTGCAGTTGTGGAAATATGTATTTGGATTGTAAATTTGCAAATTGGAGTTGTGCAGAAAAATGACAATTTAATGTTATGAAAATCGATATTTCTGTTGTAAATCCGCAAATTCCTGTTGTTAATGCATACTATTTATTATTATTGAAAGTTAATTGAAATTGATAGTTGAATAATTTGCAGCAACAGATTATAAATGGTTACTGGTGGCGGAAAACAACTATTTTGCAAAAGTATGAATTGATTAAGTGCTTATCTATAAATGTATTATTTTTAGATTTCAATCTTGTACTCCATTATGTCTCTTGTTTGATGGTTCTTAATGTTGTGTAATAGGAAGAACTCAATTCCCTGAGGTCACACTTGCCGTGGCAGCTCATTACTTATGCAAGAAATACATGGTTGACAGCTGTTGTACAACTACTTGCAAAAATACAAATACAACCAAGAGAAAATTGAAGAGGAATCTGTCAGCTCAAGATGTTTTTTATATTAGCAAAGAACGTGTTAATTTTTACGCATAAGGATTACCTACAATTTCTTTTTCAGTGCAATGAATTATATATTATGTATTTATTACATGTCTAGTAATAATAATATATTTTCCCCCACAAATTTCATACTTTGAGTGTAAATTTTGACTAGTGGAATTAGAGAATTTGCAATAATAATAGTTAAGTTTACAACAGGAATTTCTATTTTTGCAAATAGTTTTTTTAAATATAACTGAACCATCACACTAGAGTCTGCCAAGTGTGTTTATGATTGGGTTTAGACAATTTGCAAAAGGCGTTAAGAAATTTAGAATAGGAACTCGTGTATTCATAAGTGGACTTACGTAATTGACAACAGGAGTTAGGAAATGTGCTAAAATAATACATGCGTTATAACAGGAATTAGAAAATTTGCAAAAGTAATACATCAATTAACAATAGAAACACATCTATTTAGAAAATGGATAAAATCTTTCATACATTTACAGTTTTACCAGCTAATTTTAGCGCAGAACTTGGGATAGCTTGTCGTCACGTACAATCATGAAATATTTCAATTATTAATTCATTATACGAAAAAGATTATAACCCATCACCAAATATGCCCACTTACTCTCGTGCATTGTCCAATTGTAACGCTTGTCTCAAGTTTTTTCATTATTGCAAATATAAACGTGCCAACTATTATCGTTGTACTCAATTAATTGTCCTACTTCAATATCATCGTAAGATCCAAAAATGTTTTCCTGCTCAAACTAACTGTATAAATTTTAAAATAATTTATTTATTATTTTAAAATTTAATAGGCATTTTTTTGTCATTTCAATAAAGTTATATTACCTATGTTACTTGATATGAGAGTTATGAGAGTTAGTTGGATGATTGAATTTGATTTCACGATAAGACATCAAATCATTTTATTTTTTATATTTATTATTATTTTTCAAATTAATTTACTTAATTTATAAACTTATATATAACCAACTATTATATAAAAATATTTCAAGGACATTATATAATATAATTAACTATTTTATTTAAATTTTTAATCTGCTTAAAATTAATTAAGTAATTCTTATTGTAAGAAATTAGAAGGGAAAATGACAAAAAAAACCTCCCAATATGTGAAATTACTATTTGAGTCCCTCAATTTGAAAAATAATAAATAAAAACTTCGGTCTCATACTGTAAATATGAAATTTTAATAAAATATCTGAAATGCCCTTTGACCAAGTTGTGATTTGATCTGCTGAAATTATTATTCGCTAAATTAAACTTGTAATTTCTTATAGTCAACTTATCATTTGACATGCCTAAGTTGTGATTTCAGATTTGGTCTATTAAAGTTGTCATTCGTTAAAGTAAACTTGTTATTTCTTATAGTCAACTTATTATTTGGCTGAGAGGTATTTCAGGCATTTTACTAAGATTTCATATTTACAATATGAGACTGGGTCTTTATTTATTATTTTTCAAATTAAAGAACTCAAATAATAATTTCACATATTGAGGGTTTTCATTCGTCATTTTTTCAAAATAGAAACGTTGGGAAATATATTAAAAAAATTTTGGCCAAATTGGGTGGGAATCACATGTCGAATTATTTAAAGAAAACAAAATGTGGAAAAAGTGGGGAAAGCTATGGGAACATAGAAGAGTTACAGTCCAACAAGGCGGTGACACGTTGTACCCTCAAACCCCATTTGTAAGCGAAAGCGACGTGACATGACAGCCTGCGCTTCCGTTCAACACGTTCACATGCAAATGCTCTTCTCTCCGCATCATTTTTTTCATTCCCTTTTTTTCAAAAAAAAAAAAAAAAGTCTTCACAGTAAACACCTAATCAATATTATAATAAATCTCCATTTTGCAAAATAATACTCTTGCGTGTAGACTAACATATTTTTAAAACCTTAATTCCAGTTGGTCAAAAAAATACAGTTTTTTTTATTATTACATAATCCGATAGAATATTACATGGCAATCAGATTATTTTATTTATAATTAGCATAAGTATTTTTTTTGTTTGAAAAATTGTTTTGCTTTTTTTTTTTGTCTTTGTTAATAAAAAAAATCACCCTCGAATTAATATATATGATCTATTGGATCCAAAAAAAAAAGTATGATCTCAAATTAGGGGAAAAACTAGTCTTTTCAAGGTGTTGTAGGTCTGAACCTTTCGTTCGAAATCTCATTTATTCCTCCCAAGGAGGTACCAGCTAGGGATTAGTAGAGTGTTAGCGGTAATTATGTAAATTATTTATAAACTATAAATTAAAGTAAAGTAATACTCCTTCGGTCCTTAATATAAAACCCAATTATTGAGTTAGTTTTAATCCTAAATATAAGACCCATTTCTTATATTTATTAGTTTTCTCTAAATTACCCCTATGGATTTTCTCTCAACCATAATCAAGTGAAAGAGGGAGATGAGGTATTAAGAAAGATGATTATGGTGTTTTAGGAAAAATGTGTCACTTTTCTTATAATTAATTAACTTACCTAACTTCCTTAATCTAATCAAATTAGTTAAATGGGTCTTATATTAAAGACCGGAGGAGTAATATTTTAAGCACAATTAATATATATTTTTTAATTTAGAGATTCTAATAGTGATATTGTAGAAGAATCAAATCTACCATGCCTCACTAAAACTTTCATATTACTGAGTCATAAAGCTATTGGCTCAATTAATGTGCACCTACAAAGGCTTTCAGAAAAATAAAAAAATAAATGTTATGAAGTTAAATAAGAATAATTTCTCCGTTAATTTCATGATTAACCAATATTGGTCACTCATTTCTAAAACTCAAAAGTCTCTTGTATTTGCGTTGACTAAATCTTACAGAACTCTCTCACGCAGAAACAGAGTCATTAATTAACAGAAACAGAGCCGTATTACTTATAAACGGGCCAACGTGAAGCCTGGCTTTGTGATCAAATCATAAAAAGAAGCTCCTCATCATCATGAAGAAGCTAGAAGCCCTTGTCGTCTTCTTCTTCTTCTTCTTCGTCCTGTTCTTCCCATCTGGAAGCCATGGGAGCAGACAGAGTCATCACAGAACCACTGGCAAAGCTGCCTTCTTCATCTTCGGAGATTCCTTGTTGGACGCAGGAAACAACAATTACATCAACACGACAGCTCTGGACCAGGCCAATTTCTGGCCTTACGGCGAAACCTACTTCAACTTCCCCACCGGCAGGTTCTCCGACGGCCGCCTCATATCGGATTTCATAGGTAACATAACATGAGCTTGCAGATCCTTTCAGTGTCTGTTGGTGGGGCTTTGAGTGGAATTGGGATTGTGGGATTTGGTTAGCTTAAGGTTTGATTTGTTGTGGATGAAGCTGAATATGCAAATCTGCCATTGATTGCGCCGTTTCTGCAACCTGGGAATAGGAACTATCACAATGGAGTCAATTTTGCTTCTGCTGGTGCTGGTGCTCTTCTTCAAACCTTTGAAGGTTCGGTAAGTAAATTCCTTCCATTCTTCTGTGTTTTTTTCCTTTTAAGTTTGACTGTGTTTGGATTAGTGTTTATCAGAGTTGGAAATAAGTGTATTGGAAGAATTTTGTCTTGATTTCTATGAAAATACTCTCTTTATTGATATTTATTATAAGATCCCAAAATTTAAAATGGTTGGATCATTTTTATAAGATCCTATTAAGGATTATCTGAATATTAAATACGTTTTTACCAATTTTATTCTTAATTAATTTTCTATTCTTTCTCTTCATCAGTTTTTTTTTAATATTTCATTGTCTTTCATTCTTTATCTCATTGTTATAGTATTTCTTTCTCTTATTTACTGAGAGACATACTTTGAAAAAAAATAATTTAATTTTTAAATATTTATTGTTTTAAAAAAGACCGGAGAAAGTATTTTTTTTAAGGAATCCAAATACCCCTCAATCTAATTATGTTCTGTCTGACTAATACTATTAAACCTTTTTTTTTGTGGCCACAAAACTATTAACTTTAGGCTTTAGTTTGGATGGAGAAAATTGAAATATATTGGGAAGAAAAACTCTTTAAAAAAATAAATTGGGAAGTTTCCCCCCTACTTTCTTCTCATTTTTTTTTTGATACACAAGAAAACAATCAATACTAAAAAAATTTATATAAAGGAACTAAATGAGATTCATGTTTGGCCAGCATATCAGTTTCAAAGTTCTTTTTTTTTTTTTCAATTCTTTTATCTACATAGAAACCAATCTTAAACCTTCTATTTGAAGTACTATCTCTAGTTATTAATATAAGAACTTATTTAACTTTTATTTTGGTTCTAAATATAAGATCTTAATTTACTTTGTGTTTCATATTTATTTATTTTTTCTCAAAATAGTTCTTATAATAATGGTAGTTCTAACCAATATACTTGATTAGCAAGAATATTTTAAGAAAGACAATATTTATTTATTACAAATAACTAATTTTTTTAATCTATTCAGATTAGTAAACTAACTTTTATATTAATATTAAGGATGGAGGTAAAATGTTTTAGAGGATGTGAGAGTGTAATAAAAAAAAAAGGGTTTTTAGAGCTGGGAATATGTATAGAATCAGTCCTTTTCTCTACTTTTAAACTTATAATGTTATATGCAGTAATTGATTTACTTTTATATTTTTATTATTAAGACATATCATAATTGAAAAATTAGGTAAATTATGTAAATAAAACAATATGAAACATTTTTCGCCTTCGTACTATTAATTCATTTTCAAAAAAGATTTGTGTTCAGTGTATATTGCATTGCGCAGTGTTTGAAAAATTACTCTCACTAGTTAAAATTCAATTTTTTTATTAATTTTAGTTTATCTCTGACCTTTATTAATATAAGAGTTAGTTGAAAAATTAAATTTAGTTAAAAAATACGACTTCAATACAATTTGTCTCCGAATAATTCATTTTCTAAAGTATTCTTATTGATTATATATGACAAAGGTTCCATCTAAAGACATATATGATTAAAGTGTAATCAACTCAATGTTTATTATAAATAGCTAATTTAATTAATTTTTTTAATATACTTAAAATTAATTAAGTAGCTTTTATTTTAAGGAGATATACGGTTTTTATATCTCATACTATCATCAATTGATATTGACTATATCAATATTATTTATAAAATTATATGTTTGATCTCAAAGTTTATTTCCTCCTTATTTCCACTATTGTGAGCTCTTGTATAATGCGGTATAATTTATAATTCCGAGCCATATGGATGGTATGACTTGTAGGCTTGATAGATTTTATTTTATTATTATTTTAATTTTACCTATTCTCATATTTTAACTTTTTTTTTGAATTTTTAATCTAACTTTTTTCAATTAATATACTTATTCTGAAAAATATTTTGTCATATGAATTTCCATTCCTGCATTGCACGATATAAAAAGCATCTAATAGTGATAAAGATATTCGTTTCACTTGTTGTTTTGTCCTCTAAACAATTCAATAAATTATAGTATCAAAAAAATTGGGTAAATTATTAATTACAAGGATAGTTTCTGTGCTTATAATTAAGTATCGCAAGTTATCGTTACTTTACATATTTAACATAGGAATAATGGCATTTACCTAATGATCTTGCCACGTATGCTTATTTAAACATATTGAAGAATATGAAAAAGTCATTTTCAGCTACTTCATAATATTCATATGATAAAGATGCGGTGAGAGGTGAGATGTGAAAAGACATAAATGTTTTATTTTGACCAAAAAAAGATGTAAGATGTTTCAACCCAAAGATATGAAAGGTTTAAATACTTTATAGCTCACTTTCAGAAAAGCAACTGAGAACGCACCGGAAAGTGTACGTGGTGAGTTACTAATGTATACTCGGATACTTTTCTCTTCTCCCGGAAAAAAAAAAGAGATACTTTTTCTTCTACATTGTTTTAATATATTATAATACTACTACTAGCTATAGCTTCATTATATACTTTACATTTTTGTTTACACATATTTAAATAAATTTTTTTTGTTTTTTTGTTTGTCTTTAATTGTATCACTTTACAATATTATAATTTTGAAGAAATTCAATTTTTTTAAGTTTTTTATGGA